TAATTTTGTTTTTTTTTGTTAATTTAAAAAAAGGATAAATTGTTGAAACCTCCCCTATTGTTGAAACTTCCCCTAAAGTTTGGTAATTGTAATCATCTCCCTTGAACTTTATAATACAGTTACAAGTAGACCCCCTCTCTTAAAATCCTCTAACAAGAGGAACACAAATGTCCAAAATACCCATGTTGTTACTATTGAGGCTAGTTTTGCATAACAAGCAATACAAACTTTATGAACAACAAAAAAAGTTTAAATTGCAACTTTGAGGGATTCATATGAAGGGAAAATTTATAAAAAAATTCAATTTCGAAAAAGAGATTGGAAGGGTTTGGGGTAGTAATTGATATGAAGGGAAAATTTGGAAAATAAATGTTTTAGTCAAATTAACTACATGGTTATTTTATACATTTTCATGCCTCTTGTTTGAGGATTATAAGAGAAGGGGTCTACTTGCAACTGTGTTACAATGTTCAGAGGAGGTGATTGCAATTACCCAACTTTAGGGGAGGTTTTCAGCAATGGTCAAAAATTTCAGGGGAGATTTTAGAATTTTACCCCTTAAAAAACATGGGTTTCATATTGTTAAAAAGTATTTGATAAACATGGGTTTCAAATTACTTTTCAAAATATTTATTTTTATACTATTAAAATTAATGTTGTGTCTTTAATCCGCAAAATTTAATGATGAAAAAAAATATCTTAAATATAAGGTTTAATGAGAGAATATATCCAATTAGTTTTAAATTTTACATTCAATTTCCATCACTAATAAAAGAACATTCCTTGTTTATCATACTTATTATTGTTGAATTTGTTGAATATATGATGCTAAAATGTTCCCAATTGTTTTTATTTTTTTTTTATTTTTGAATTTAATTATTTAATTTTGGCAACATGGATTAACCCATTTGAGCCAAAATGATTTAATTTCTTACCACCACCTAGATGAAAACACTATTTTTTACTAGGTAGATTTTAAAAGTATAAGTTTTTATGTTATTGGAATTATTAATTTATTATGTATGGATTTAATTAATATAACTTAATGATGAGAAGAAACAAAAATGTTTTAAATATGTGATTTAATGAAGGTGAATGTAAGTTAATTCCTTAAATGTTGAGGTTTAATGAGAGATGATTAAATGCATTGAATATCTTAAATTTGCATCTTTTCAACTCATTTAATATCAAAAAATGATTACCCTATTTGCCCTCATTTTTATCAATAAGTTTAAATATGGAGGGGTAACTTTTGTCCTTAAAAATTTCCAGAAATATTCTTGAAACTATTTGTGCTTTTTTAAGTAGTATAGATTTATGTGACGACTAGCAAGAGAGTGGTTGTTATAGCTAGTTTATACGAGTAATGCTTGAGTTATTGATTATAGAATTGTTGTTATACTGCTTGAGATAGGATCTTGGACGTTCACATTGATATTGTACTCTTTATTTTATCAAGTAAATCCTTATAAGCCCCCATCAAGAGAGTGGTTTGTTATTATCTTTGAAAGTTTTCATTTCCTTCAAAATAAACATAAAATAATAAGGCCTTGTTTGGCATAAATTCTAGGGATTCTCATTCCTAGAATCCTTTTAGAAAATAATAGATTCTAAGAATCACTAATCATCTTTGGCACAGTCGTTTGAATTCTGTTTCTCAGAAACAGAATCACGTTTGGTAGCCCAATTTCTTTGAATCAATTCTTTGGTAAAATGAGATGAGAGAGTGATGCCAAACAGAGCCTAAATATTTGAGCTTGGACACATATCCATGTATTTTGGGTTAAGCGAAATGTTAATACAAGATTAACCGATGGCACTCCCTTATTAAAGTTTTAATTATATTTATTTATTTTTGCATCTTATTACCTTTAAAACCAAAACGAAAACCCCGGACTACCCGAGTATTTTGCTTTGTGTACAGGTACAGCAGATTTTCCAAATAGCAGCTTGCTTTCGTTTTCATGTTAAGTAGGTTTCCATCTTTTTCCAATGGGGAACAACTTTTGGGGGTCAGTGCATGATTTATGATGGATGCATTTTTATTCAACAACGAACAACCTCTATGTCCACCTCTCTCATTAAACACATTTTACTGAAAGTGAAAGTGAAGAGGCCTGCCTTCTAAGGACTCCATTGAATGGCTCAAGGTTGGAAATCAAATTTGTCCAGAGTTTTTCATATTGATGGATATAATGACCATGGAAGGTACAATATTGGAAACGCTTGAGTGGAAAGCAGTGGACCCTGTCAAATCAAACAGAATAGACTCGGCCGTATAACACTTAACACCAAAAAGCAAAACACCACAGCCGAGTTGGTGGGTTGGAGTTGGCCAGTTGGGTCTCTGACATGGGAAGAGCTTTCATGTGGTAGCATAGTTGGTGGGTTGAAGCCTGACTCTAGGGAAAATTTTTCTCTAGCATCGGCTTGTCAACTGGGTTGGATAAGTCTTTATTCGTGGGCTGGAAAGAGTAAGCAAATGTCCAATCAATCCACAGCATCTCCTATTTGACAATGGGCCATCTCCTATTTGTGTGGGTAGGTTTCCCAATTTAATAGGGGCATGAGGGGGGTCGTCTTGATTCTTGAGTAATTGAATTGGTGGGTTGTAGGTGTGTTTTTAACTTTTATCCTGATCTGACAATCGAAAAGATCCCCATTTTGTGAGAGACCATCTAAATCAAGAATTGTGTTCATGTACTCTGTCAACCATCAGATTGGAATCATCTATCTACTCCGGGTCTTTCTCCCATGAACAGTAGAGACTAGAGAATTTGGTTTGGTAAGCTCAATGCCGCTTCCCCTCCCCCACCACCTCCCCCATACAAACATTTTTTTCATTTATATTAATAAATAAATAAAAAAAGTGCAAGGCCTTTGATTGAACGGTCACGGTGAATGAGTTCTAGAAAATTAATTTTAAATTAGGGCTCAATTAATTATTGACTATCAATGTCTACTTAATCTCTAAATTCAAAGCATGAAAGAGACCTTAACTAGACTTGAGCCCAATAAACAAGAAAATTAATGAACATACACCCTTTTTAAAAAAAGGGATAATAGCAACTTTTGGGCCCTATTTAAAAAAAAATAAAAAATAAGATAACTTTTGAAAAATAATATCAATAAAAGGTAGAATCATTGTTCATCTTCTTCATTTTGCAAACTATTCATCAGTATCGCCACCGCCGCCATTTGCTGCTACCTCCGGCAACGCCTTTGCTTATCTCCGCCTTCGCTTCTGGCAACATTGCCGGAGGTGGGTGGAGGCAAAGGTGGCAGTGGCGACGTTGGTGGTTATTTTTTTGCCCAATGCCGCCGCCACCTTCGCCCACCTCTGCCTCCGCCTTTGCCTTCAGCAATGTTATCGGAGGTGGGTGGAGGCAAAGACAGTGGCAGCTGCAGCGTTGGTGGCATTGGGTAGAGAAATAACCACCAACGCTGCCGCTGCCACCTCTGCCTTTGCTCACCTTCAGCAGTGTTCCCGAAAACAGAGGCAAAGGTGGGCAAAGGTGTTGTCGGAGGCAGCGTCACTAGTGAATAAACTACAAGAGGAAGAAGATCAACAATGATTCTACCCTTTATTAATATTATTTTTCAAAAGTTATCTTATTTTTGAATTTTTTTTTTAAATATTACTTTTACTTGTCCAAAACTTGCCCTTATATGCTATTATCCCTTTAAAAAATTCTTTTATTTCAGTGAGGGGTTCAGTGAGGGTACCCCTCACATGGAAAGACCACTTTAAACCATCGATTTGGCATCAATCATCATACGAAAAACGTGCATCTCATGCGAGCGCACTCTCATGGGTGATGGATAGACTATTTACCCATCCGATTGGAATAATTTACATACTCCAGACAAGTGATGAACATTCGTTGTCCCAATCCTCCATCAACGGTTGGGAGGTAGGGTCTACAAGACAGGGACTTTAGTCCACGAGTCCTTTTGGTGAAGTACAATAATGACTGTGATGTTCTGCAATTACGAGAAAAGAAAAGGACATAACTGAAATTAAAGAAATTATTAAAGATTAAAAAAATGAAAGCTTCCCGAAGCCCCAAAAAGAGAACTCACATAAAAGGGAATCCATCACTCACTTTCTCAGTTTAAATAAACCGCGACGTGGCGGCCCCGCAGCTCAGGTGGTTCAAAAACTCACACGTGCTACATTTCCTGTTCGCGTGCCGACAAAACCTGACTGACACGTGTACTGCTCTCAACTCAGAATGAACCTCCAGCTGGCTGGTTCCAGGCACTGCTCTGTGCTCGGTACCTAATCTGATCTGACCATACCGTTTTATTCCTCTTTATTAGAAAATTGAAAAATAAAATCAAGACAGCGACGTCAGATAAGTGACTCTTCTTATAGATAACTTTGATAAAGAACTGTGCTTATCGAGACTCTGACTGGACAGCTACCGCGCACTACGTTAGAAAATGACAGGTTGATTGGTCGATTAAGATATGCTGTAAAAAAAGGGAAATTATTTTAAAACAAAAAAGCAGAAGTGAATGTGTACGAGGAAGGATGACGTGGCTCTCGAGAATCAAATCGTACGTTAAATGACACAAACATCCCTATTTTTCTTCCTGAATGTCGCGACAGTCTTGTCCGCTTGCTTTTAAAATGACCTCACTGTCCTCCAACACTTTCCCTGAGTCTAACAAAGCGACAATGAATATTTCCTTTGTCCGGCGATCTGACTTTAAGTACTTTCTTGTCCCTTTCTAAAAAATATTATTTACTTTTCTTTTTAGATATATAATTTCTACTTATTTATTTCTTTTTAATTTTTGTTTTAACTAAAACTATGTCTATTGCAATTTATTTGATGAATTTTAAAAGTATATTCGCTATCAATAAGGGTAAAATGGGAGAGGATAGAATGATAACTATCGCTGTATTAAGGGTAAAATGGGAAAGGGAAGAAAGTCCGAATATAAATGAGGCAGTTGCATAATTTGATGGTTGATTAACTGAAGGGGTTGGTTTGGAAATTTGTAAAATATGAAAAGAAACTGAAGTGACGCAGCAACCTAATCGCGGTTTTTTGGGGACATTCAAAGCGGACAGAGAGAGAGAAGGAACTGAACACGGCGGCTACAGATAGTGTGAGAGCGATGCAAAGATAAAGAGAGAAAGATACGGAGGTGTTACAGAGTTGCAGAGACCGGAGAGAGAGGGAGAGAGAGGAGTAGAAGAAGAGATAGAGCGTCTATCTGTCCAAAACCCTAACCCTAGAAATGGTTTCTGCTTCATTCTGTAGTATCTGGAGTCTGAACACTGAGTAAGAAAGTGGTCGTGCCTTTTTTGGTTAATTTTTAGTTTATTGGATAAGTTATTTGCTTCCCTTTCTTTACTCGTTGGATCAGTAGAAACTGGAACAGATACTCATTTCTGCAAAAGTAGATTTCTAAAATCGAATTCTGGGAAAAGTTTGCTATTTACTTTGGATTTGGTTGGTTGGTTGGATGGATGAACTGTGAGTTTGGACTTGGAAATTAGGGTTTTGTTGAGACTTTTCATTGAAGGAGGGAGGAGAAAGAAGGAAGTTTTGAAGACAACGACGTCCAGGAGGAATAGGGGAAGCTATACTGGACTTGGTCTTCTGTTGTGTGTTGTTCGGGTCAGATCTTTGTATTTATTCGTTGGGGAAATGTTAAAAAATGATTATTTTTCTTTTCCAGAAAAAGTGATGGACTGGAGTTAGTTTCTCTTTCTTTCATCAGAAGAGTGATTTAGGGTTTTATGTTATTTACGGCTTAGATCTCATTGGTGTGAAGTTGTAAGAGCGTTCTGATGAAATTGTTGTAGAGACAACGTCCATCGGCCATGTACTTATGCTTGTGTAGTTCATTCATGTTTTAGGCAGTAGATAGGGGAAGACGAAGGTTGTGAAAAACTGAGAGTTGGATAACGACTTTGTCATTTAGTTACTTGGATTTGTCATCCTCTGTTTCTTTTTAGTTTGATATCAGATCTTTGCGCTGGAGCGGTTAGGGATACCGGGAACCATGTCTTCCTTGAGTAGGGAACTGGTATTCTTAATCTTACAGTTCTTGGATGAGGAGAAGTTCAAGGAAACTGTCCATAAGTAAGCCTTCCGTTTTCTTTATTATTTTAAAAAAATCTAGATGTTTTTAAGAAGTTAATAACTGAATGTAGCTGTTTATCAAAATAGAAAAAAAATGCGTCTATTCTAGTTCATTTACTGTTCTTTGATTTTTTTATGGGCGACTCTTTGTAGGTTGGAACAAGAGTCTGGGTTTTTCTTCAATATGAAACACTTTGAAGATCAAGTCCAGGCGGGTGAATGGGATGAAGTTGAACGGTATTTATGTGGGTTTACAAAGGTTGAAGATAATCGGTATTCAATGAAAATTTTCTTTGAGATAAGGAAACAGAAGTATTTGGAAGCTCTTGATAGGTTAGTCCTTGTTTTGGTCATTTGATAGCTCTTTCATGGAATCTCTAGGGGCCTTGGAATTATAGTTTAATTCTTTCTTGTTCCACTGCTCAGGCATGACCGAGCCAAGGCGGTTGAGATTCTTGTCAAGGATCTTAAGGTTTTTGCGTCTTTCAATGAAGAACTGTTCAAGGAAATCACCCAGCTGCTTACTCTTGAGAACTTTAGGTGCAAAATTTTCATTTTGCTGTGAATTTGTAGTGGTTTCCATTATTTGAATCTAATGCATTTTTTTTTTCCTGTTGCCATGTTCGAGCCATCAGGCAGAATGAGCAGCTTTCCAAGTATGGTGACACAAAATCCGCACGGAATATTATGCTTATGGAACTTAAAAAGCTTATTGAAGCAAATCCCTTATTCAGAGACAAACTTACATTTCCACCCTTCAAAGCCTCACGATTGAGGACTTTGATAAATCAGAGGTGATAGAGGCACATCCCTCATTTACATTACTTGTTCCTAATTCTATCCATGTTTTATTAGTCATCATCCGTTATATTTCTTCCTGTTTGAATTATTGCCCTCAATTTAATCTTCTGCAGTTCTGCTTCTTCCAATCAAATTAATACTAACTTGTAGTTGTAATTGATTAATTGATTAATGCTTTGCAATATTGAGGGTGGGCCTTGTCGCAATGGTTGGGTTGCTCCATTGTGGCCTGGGCGGTGACCAGGGTTCAATCTTGGAAACAGCCTCTCTGTATGTGCAGGGGTAAGGCTGCGTACCCTCTCCAGACCCTGCATTGGCGGGAGCCTTATGCAATGATCTGCCCTTTTTTTACTAATGATTTGCAATGCTTATGGAACAAGTTTACTAAATTCCTACTTATATGAGCTCCTCTTTATTGTGGTATTTTCAGTCTGAATTGGCAGCATCAGTTATGCAAGAATCCACGTCCAAACCCTGATATCAAAACACTTTTCACTGATCATACCTGCGCTCATAATAATGGAGGTCGGGCTCCACCTCCTACCAACAGCCCTCTTGTGGGACCCATTCCCAAAGCTGGGGCATTTCCTCCTATTGGTGCCCATAGTGTAAGTAAACTGTATCTGACTTTGTGCATAACCCTTGTTATCAATTACTCTATGATGTTCACTTTAGCTCTTGTTCTTTCTGGCAGCCATTCCAGCCAGTTGTTTCCCCATCCGCTAGTGCAATTGCAGGGTGGATGTCAAGCAACAACCCTTCTTTACCTCATGCTGCTGTGGCAGCAGCCCCTCCTAGCCTTGTACAGGCCCCTAATGCAGGTTAGTTTTTTCTGTCTGGTTTTAGCTTCAATTGATACTGCTTCAGATCTATGATGAATTCTGAAGACTGTTAAATTGATCTTTACATTATATTAATGCCTGCAGCTGCTTTCTTAAAGCACCCGAGGACTCCTACTAGCGCTCCAGGAGTTGATTATCAATCAGCTGATTCAGAACATTTGATGAAGCGGATCCGCACTGGTCAACCTGATGAGGTGTGGAGGAACAAAATAGCATGTCTCAAAAAGTTGAGAACTATGATATTCATCAAAAAAGAATAAAAGTTATGAACTATGATCAATAGCACTGTGTGGTGTGATTAATATAATCTCCTTGTATGTGTACATGACTGCATATGCTCAAGATGACATATAGGCTTTATATATGTTCTTATAGGTTTCATTTTCTGGTGCCACACATCCTCCAAATATCTATTCTCAAGATGACCTTCCTAGAACTGTTGTGCGGACACTTAACCAAGGATCCAATGTAATGAGCATGGACTTCCATCCGCAGCAACAGACTATTCTTCTAGGTTCTCGCTTCACTAGATCTTTGCGATTCCCATTACAATTTTTCTCTTGCCAATTGTAGAATGTCCTTTAGCCCACACATTTTTGTGGTTGTAAATTGCTGAGCTTCATGTTTCTGTTCCGTTGTGTCTTCAGTGGGTACAAATGTGGGTGAAATTTCAATCTGGGAAATTGGATCCCGAGAAAGGCTAGCACACAAAACTTTCAAGGTTTGGGATATCTCGGCTTGTTCGATGCCTTTGCAGGTATTGATTATTGTGACAGTATATGGGCTAGAGCTCCTATTGAATTTTATACAAAACATTTAGCGTATATAATTTTATTTTTTTATCATCATTATCATCTAAATCTTGTCCCAACCATATGGGGTAAGCTACATGAATCCTGTTTCACCATTCTTTTATGTTTCAGGGCCAATTTTGATTTTTTTTCTTAAATTCAACATAATGAGATTGCTGAAAATGTTGAGCTTAAAAATGAAATTGCTAAACTCACTTTTATTCATTACTTTTTGTGGTTAAATTTTCCAGACTGCATTGATGAAAGATGCAACAATATCTGTCAATCGATGTATTTGGGGCCCTGATGGATCCATACTTGGTAAAGCTAAAAAATTTCCTTCACTGTTACTTGCAGTCCTTTATTATTCAGGAGACTTCTTCCCTGTGTTGGATCACATTTCTTATTTTCTCTTATTTATACTTGACAAATTAGGTGTTGCATTTTCAAAGCATATTGTGCAAATATACATGTACAACCCAACTGGAGAACTGAGACAACATTTAGAGGTAATTATGCAATCCCCCTCCCCCCTCCAGAAAATACAGTCGTGAGCATGTGAACATTGCTGACTGCCTGTTCTATATTATAGATCGACGCTCACATTGGTGGTGTTAATGATATTGCTTTTGCTCATCCCAACAAGCAACTATGCATTGTCACATGTGGTGATGACAAGACAATTAAGGTATCAACCTTGAGAGACAAATTCAGTTTTACCCAAAATGATAATATGGTTGTCTTCAATAGTAACACTTTGTGCAATACAGGTCTGGGATGCTGTAGCTGGCCGGAGGCAATATATATTTGAAGGCCATGAAGCTCCTGTATATTCTGTTTGCCCTCACTATAAAGAGAATATCCAGGTAATTTTTCTTTGCTTTCTAATAGGCCAATATCTCATTAATGTGTAAAACAAAGTTATTGTAAAAGGGCTCTCTTGTGAGTGGCATTTTTCATTTAAATCAATAAATTCTTCTTTAGTTACCAATAGAAAAGAAAATAGGGTGATCTTAAAATGCTTCCCTTGAAATGGCTTAAAAGGCTTGCCTTTTCATTGACTGCCAATTTACGAACTCATTTCATTTTGGGTTTTGGCTTCATATGCAGTTTATTTTTTCTACTGCAATTGATGGGAAGATTAAAGCATGGCTATATGATTGCTTGGGATCTAGAGTGGATTATGATGCTCCTGGACTTTGGTGCACCACAATGGCATATAGCGCAGATGGAACAAGGTTAAATTTGCTTACCTTGGACTAAAGCAGTAATAAGTACTCTGTGCACAGGGAACAGTCAGCAGTTATATTTTTTTCCCGTACACCAAGTGTAATGGCTTCTGGTTCTTTATTTTTATTGTTACAAAGCGAGTGCATTCCCTTTTCCTTTTCTTTTAACTTTTCTAATCAATAAGGTGGAACTTTTTCATATCAAAATAAAGTGGTGATTGGTGGCGTTTATGCACCTAGGAAAGAAGATTAGTGGATTGTAGCTATCTGTTCTACATGTCAATTGTCAAGTTTTATGGCTTATGTATGTTTGCTGTTACAAAGCCACTCCATTCACCCATGTGTTGCTTTTCCTTTTTCTTTCTTGCTTGATTAAGAAGCATGATAACTGGGCATGCTTCATTATCTTAAATATGGCCATGTTGGTTATTATGTTTGATGCTCATTGTAGGCACATGCCTTCATTATCTTAAGTGTGTGCATATTCAGGTTCCTAGAGGCATGGGCAATTATTGGTTATTCTTCCAAAAGGAAAGGAAAGCAAGAAAATATTATCAAAACTTACCATATATTTAACACTTAATGAATTTATCTAGAGATAAACTCAAGATATTTGACATAAAATAAGTGGTAGACATATGTATTTGGGTTTTCAAAAATTGTGATAAACACCCCATATGTGTTGTGACTATTACATGTCAGTGTACATGTTAGTTTCTTTATTCTTAGCTAAGCTGGTCTCAAAAGGTAGCTAGTGGTAAGGCACCTACTGGAGTTGGTGAGCCTGAACTCTGACCATGACCATGCGTCACATCCATAATTATTGAGCTTGGTTGGCAAATGACTGGAATACAAAAATGGGTTAGATATAGGTTTGCTTCAGTGGATTGTATCCAAATCTGGGTTGAATTTGGGAATGGATGTATAACTCTTAAGGGTTCAGTAATATTTGGGGAGAAATGAGTAAATCTCTAATAATAAACAGGTTCGGTTTATATTTGGATCTGACTAAGATAAAAATATTTGTGCTTTAAGGGTTGGATCTGGGTTAGGCTATATTAAATTAGATTCGATGTGGGTCCTGCCTTGGATCTTCTAAGGCATAAAACATTTCAGTCTGGATTCTGTTCTAGATCTGAACCATTGCATGCACTGGCTAGTGACTTCCAGTAGTTTTTCTGTTAGCCTTGAATGTGAAACTGTGAATAGGATCATAGATGAGGATTATTTTTTTGTGGTTTGCCCCACCTGGCTCATTGCTATATTTTGATACCTTGAATTTGAGTCGAGTGGGTTATTCATTATATCATAGGTGGTACTTATGGTATTTAGAGTTTAAATACGACTTACATGTAGAAGGCTACAATTTTCCTTTTAATAAGTAACAGATACTCTAACCAACTGATACAAGGATTTTTTAAATATCCGATGACATTTAGGGGTCATTTCTTAGTGTAATGGTAAAATATTGGGCTGTCAAGCATGACAATGTGGATTTAAGACTGTAAGTAGCCACTTCATGCAAAAAAGAAAAAAAAAGGAAAAAAAAATCAAATGTTAGGTCTGTATCAAGTCCACCCCTCCCAAGAACCTAGATAACAAGGGCCAATATGGGGTTAAGGTCCTTGTTTCATTCATAAAAAAAGGCCCTTACTTTCAGAATTTAGATTTTCAAATTCTTGTATATTATGCTTTTTTCTTATTTTCACAAAACTAGTGCATCAACTTTTTCTTGTCTGTGCCTTGATCTCTAGGAGCCCTTTGTACTTTACTCTCAATTCTTTCAAGTCACTGTTTTCAGTTAGAAACCATTCTTTCTCAAGGACCAAAATATGTATTTGCTTGGCCTTTTCTAGTTCTGATGTTAAGTTTTGTTGTTTACATTGTTACTGTCTATGTTTTTTCAGGTTGTTCTCTTGTGGAACAAGTAAAGAAGGCGATTCTCACCTGGTTGAGTGGAATGAAAGTGAAGGAGCAATCAAGAGAACATATTCTGGTTTCAGGAAGCGATCCTTAGGAGTTGTTCAGTTCGACACAACAAGGAACCGCTTCTTGGCTGCTGGTGATGAATTTCAGATCAAGTTCTGGGATATGGACAATACCAACTTGTTGACAACTACTGATGCTGATGGCGGATTACCTGTTAGTATTAATACCTTGCTAACTTCTTTTGATACAAGCACTTCATTGTGCAAACTCTAGAAACTGTGGCTTTTTTTCTTACTGTTATGGTTCTTCTTGCAGGCAAGTCCTAGATTGAGGTTCAACAAGGAAGGGTCATTATTAGCAGTCACAACAAGTGACAGCGGTATCAAGATCCTAGTAAACACTGATGGGCAGCGTTTGATAAGAATGCTGGAAAACAGGACATTTGAGGGATCTCGAGGTCCTTCTGAGTCTATCAATACAAAGGTAACTTATTTTTTTCTCTTCTATTTATTTTCATATTAATTAATAGGTATGCTTCTCCATCATGCATATGATGTTTCTATACTTACTACTGCCCTTTCCCTTGGCAGCCTCCAATTGCTAATCCATTGGGTCCTGTAGCCAATGTATCTGCCCCATTAGTGACCTTGGAACGTTCTGATAGAATATTACCACCTGCAGTATCTATTAGCAGTCTTGTAAGTTATCCTTCTTTCAAGTTACTTGAAGTTCTTATCAAAATAGACTTTTAAAATTATCAGGATGCTTTCGATTATAGGCACCCATGGACAGTAGCAGGATAACTGACATTAAGCCAAGAATCCCAGAGGATGTTGACAAGATTAAAAGCTGGAAGCTGCCTGATATCATTGACTCAGCTCAATTAAAAGCTCTGCGGTTGCCTGATCCCATGGCAACTGGAAAGGTATGTTTTAGACAACAAACTATGTATGCCTTGAATAGAGTTCTTTTTGAATAGCTGCTCATTTCTACTTTTTTTAGATTTCATATTATATTATCGTGCACCTCATTTAAGCAAATTGACTGCCTCTCAAGAAGATAGTGCTAGTAAAATAGATAAGAGGTTTATTGATAAAAAAAAAAGACAAGAGGTTAGCAGAACTATGAATTGTTATTTTGCTCCAAGCTCTTTTTTTTTTCTTTAATGTTGAAGATGTTAAAGCCATCCATGTTAAATTATAACAGTAGTTTGTGATCTTTACTGGTCAAAGCACAACAAAGCTGAGTTACTAGCTGCTGTTCAAGGGATTGAGGTTGCTAACCAGCTTGGGGTGGAACATCTTCTAATTGAAGGAGATTCTCAGGTGGTGGTAGGGTGGCTGTTAAACCGAACACTGCCATATGGGGATATGGAGATCTCCTCAAAAAAGTTAAGTGAATGACTAGAACAATGAGAGTGGATGTTAAATGCATAAGCAGGTCGGCAAACACTGTGGCTGATTCTTTGTTCAAGCAAGGGGTATCCCGTATCCAGGGAAGGTCTTTTTTGGGCATCTTTGTAACTTATTCTAGTAAGTAGGGAAAGCTGTATCTGAATATTCTGGAGAGGTAGTATCTCATGCCTCTCCTTGGGATGCTTGTACTTCTTACCTTTGGTATCTAATAAAATTTATTCAATTATAAAAAAAAAGCACAAGAATTCTCAGCTTTCAGTAATGGTGTGTGTATCTGTACCTTGGCTATTTTATGAGCCACCATATGGGGTGTTGGGACAATCCTGATATAAGCATTCTTTCATTCCTATGCTTTTCTGTTTTCGGATTTATTACTATTTAGTTTTCTGCTGTTGCTTAATCTCAGAGTGGTTCATTATTCTCCAGAATGTGGTAGACCTCTCTGAATTGTTAGGAGTAGGTCTTAGGTTGAGGATCTGTATGGATGGTTTTATTTGCATTTTTTCATTTCCCTATCTTCATGAGGTGGATCTAGTATCTGAGGTACATGCTTCTTGAATTGCAGATTGTGCGTCTAATATACACAAATTCAGGGCTAGCTGTATTGGCCCTTGCATCCAATGCGGTACATAAGTTGTGGAAATGGCAGCGTACTGAACGGAATCCATCTGGCAAGGTTTGCTTTATTTGAATTTATTTATGGTATCCTTTTTTTGAACATTTGTTTTGCGTTCCTTATTTGTATATTTGTTTTCTTTTTCAGTCTACTGCATCTGTTGCACCACAATTGTGGCAGCCCACAAATGGAACTCTCATGACTAATGACACAAGCGATACCAACTCAGCTGAGGAATCAGCTGCATGCATTGCATTATCAAAAAATGATTCTTATGTTATGTCTGCATCTGGTGGAAAGGTCTCCTTGTTCAACATGATGACATTTAAGGTGTGATATCTCTTTTTCTTTTTTTTTTTTTTTCAGTTCACTTTTGTCATGCCTCACGAGTTTGACATTCTTGGAGTTTGTCTATTAACTTTCTGGTGCACTTAATGGTCATGCAATAGTATGCTGTCTAAGAGATTCAAGGTAATCAGTTCAAACTTTTTTTTGGCCATATCAGGTCATGACAACTTTCATGCCACCACCTCCTGCAGCCACCTTCTTGGCATTTCACCCTCAGGACAACAATATCATTGCCATAGGGATGGAAGATTCAACTATACAAATATACAATGTGCGGATTGATGAGGTAATGATTTATCCTGTTCACTTGCAGCATGGGTGGTTACCTAATGTTGCGCTTTTTTATATTAATGAATTATGGAGACTTTTATGTTGATCTCTGGGAGTTTATAAGAATTAGTGAGATAATCACTTTGGAGGTCTTACATAGTTTTACTCATTTAGTAGCCAAAATGTTTTGTGCTACTTTGCCTATATCTGAAATTTTTGGATATCGTTTTCTTCTCTTGTTTGAGTAAAATGCAAATGGATATTGGACAGCAAATGCACTTTTATTTAAAAGTGATGTCTATGTCAGTTGCATTGCTGGATGTTTCTCTTCTTTTGTTTCTTTTTACTTTGGGGTGGGCAATGTGGTATGTCGTACAAATTGGATAAGTTTCCCTATTATGTATTGTTCTGAAGTGTTTCTAACTTTTAATTGACTTTTCAGGTTAAAACCAAACTGAAGGGGCATCAGAAACGAATAACTGGCCTTGCATTTTCCCCGACTTTGAACGTATTGGTATCATCAGGAGCTGATGCGCAGGTATTGATTGATAAACTGCACATTGTGCTTGGAAAAAACCATTACCATGAGAATGTGTACTCTGGTGGCACTGTGATTGGTAATTAGGATTTATATTTATGAATTTATATATAGATGAACACAGGACCATTTAGGAGCTGTTGTCTTGCTTCTCTTTAGAAACAATGTAAATGATTCATGTAGTTCCTTAATTATTATTAGTTGTGAATAACTTTTCTGTTACGGGTTGAATATACAGCTTTGCATGTGGAGCATTGATGGATGGGAAAAGAGGAAAGCACGATTCATACAAGTACCCCCTGGCCGCTCCACCCCACTGGTTGGAGAAACCAAGGTCCAATTCCATAATGATCAGGTTCATTTATTAGTGGTCCATGAGAGCCAAGTTGTTGTGTATGACAGCAAACTTGAGTGCCTGTGCTCAGTAAGTTGTTTATCTCAATTTATTATTACTAATTCAAATAAGTGAATATTTTACTGATTTTATATATTTGTTTTCCTTTAAGTAGTATCTATCCTCAATGCTTCATGTTTATAGCATATGGATATAAAAATAGAAAAAAGAGCAAGTTCTATGCTTCATGTTAGGGCTGTTCACGGGTCGGGTTGGGTTGGTTTACCAGTTTTTTTTTCAACCGACCCCACCTGGTCGGGTTACCTAAAGATTTAACCGAAACCGACCCTCTATTAAGCAAAACCAACCTGATCGGTTTAGGTCGGTTTGGGTTGGTTTTGGTTTAAATATATACATTTCCAAAATATATATATTTCAGCTTTAAATATATATATATATATATTATAATATTTCAGTGAGAATATATTTATAGATAACTTGGTTTGGTTTCGGTTTTCATGTGTGAAAATTGAAACTCTTTTTAGCAAGAAGGCTGCAGAGAATGGGCTTTGGGATGGCTTTGCAATCTCGCTTGGAAAGGAAAAAGTTAATATCCTTCAGTTTGCAGACGATACCTTATGTTTTGTTGATGCTTCCCCAAGTCAGTTGGAGGTGGTGTTTAGAATTCTGAGTTGGTTTGAGGTGGTGTCTGGTCTCAAGGTCAACTTGAGTAAGTCTTAGATCATCCCTATGGGTCATGTTACAAACTTAGAAGATTGTGCAGATGTGATGGCTTGTCAGATTGCTTATCTCCCGGTCAAGTACTTGGGGCTTCCTCTTGGGGTAAAGTGTACTTCCTCTGAGACTTGGGTTCCAGTTATTGAGAGAATGGAGAGGAAACTGGCATTTTGGAAAGCTAAATATCTTTCTTTTGGGGGTAGAGTAACATTGATCAAGAACACTCTCTCTAATCTTCCTACTTATGTCCTCTCCCTTTTCCCTATTCCAATCAAAGTTGCAAATAGATTGGAGCAAATCGAGAGGAATTTCTTATGGAGGGGATGGGAGGAGGAAAAGAAGATCCACATTGTAAATTGGGAACAAGTGTGTCTTCTTAAGGAAGTTGGTGGGCTGGGAATAAGAAAATTGAAGAAGTTCAATTCTGCCCTTCTTAGCAAATGGCTATGAAGATTTGCTAATTAAAGAAATGCATGGTGGAGAAATCTTATTGTGGAAAAATATGGGGTGGATTGGGGTTATTGGAGATCCAAGTGCCCTTCTACAAAAGGGATAAGTTCCATATGGGCAGGTATCTTGAAGGTCTTTCCTTTATTTGAGGAAGGAATTGGATTTAAGGTGGGAAATGGGGAAAGGATTAAATTTTGGAAAGATTCTTGGTGCTCTGAAGTGTGCTTGAAAGAAGCCTTCCCTCTCTTGTATCAAATTTCTGTTAATCAGGATTCCTCTGTTGCCGAGAACCTTAATGTTTCAGGTAATTCTATTATTTGGAATCCGCTTTGTAGGAGGAGTCTCTTTGATTGGGAAGTTGAAGAGTATGCGACTCTGTTGGGTTTGCTTAAAATCAGAGGATTGACTCAAATACAGAGGATGCTTGGAATTGGAAATGGGAAGCCAATGGTTTTTTCACTGTTAAGTCCATGTTCCTTAATTTGGTCAGTTCAGGTCAAGTGAACTTTCCGGCTAGGCAAATCTAGAACTCAACTAGCCCCTCTAAAGTAAATTTTCTGATTTGGACAATGGTTTTAGACAAGTGTCTGACCAGAGTGAATCTGATGAGACATGCCATTCAGATTCTGGATATTTCATGTGGATTGTGTGGTGGTTCAGCAGAATCTATTGAACACCTGTCTATTCATTGCCCAGTTTCGACTTATATCTGGGGGCATTTCCTTATGGCCTCGGAAGTCAATTGGGTAATGCCAATTTCAGTGAAGGAACTGCTGTATTGTTGGAAAATTGAGGGCCTCGGCAAGAAAGGTAACTTGGTTTGGAACACTATTCCGGCAGCTGTTCTTTGGACTATTGGGACTGAGAAACAACAGAAATTTTCCAAGGTAAAGCTAAAACACCAGAGGAAATGGTGCAGAAAGCTGTGGGCAAATTATTGTCTTGGGTGTCAGCAACAGAGGATTTTAAAAATCAGAATATGCGGTTGTTGTTTAGTTCTCAGTCTTGGATGAGATTGTAATCTGAGATGGCCCTAGGCAGCCTCTAATGGCCTAGGCTCTATTGTATTGTTCTTTGATTTAACAAAGTACCTTACCTTTTACAAAAAAAAAAAATAAAAAGAAAAACCAGCCAAATCGGGTTGGGTCGGGCCGGATTGGTCAGTTTGGTTGGTTTGAATTTATTTGTGAACAGCCCTACTTCATGTTTTGGGAAAAATGCTGATGGTTCAAATTTTTATGGATATGGAACGTGATGAACTTAATGTTCTGGTGCAACGGCTTTGCTGCATTGCATCTGGATCATCATTGAAATTAGGTTTTCATATCTTGGCTGTGGTTCTAGTAAAGACTTAATGGAGAAAAGTAGAGAAAATTTGAAATTCATTGTAGCAAACATGCAAGGGAAGATTTCCATCACGCTGAGTGGTAAAAGTCCTAGGTTTTCTTGCCCTTTTTTGTGTTTGAAGGGCAGTTTGTAACCCTGGACTGTGTTCAATTTGTCTAGACTATCCAATGTCATACGTCATACCTGCATCTTAACTAGAAAGGAAAGATTGGAGGAAAATTAAATTAAATTATTTTATAATAGAAAATCTTCAACTACTTGCCTGTCAAGAGGTCCAATAAAAACTCAAGTGACTAGCTAATATATCATTTTCTTGCTAACCAGTGGATGAATATTAGGTTGTAAGTTTTTGGCTTTTCCACTATTTTTTAAACCATGAGTTCGTTGTTAACAATTTGTAGTCTTTGAAGGAGTCTGAATTGTTAAGGTAGTCTTCTGAAGTTTGTTATTTTTGTATTGATAAAAGAAGTTACTTTTATTTACTTGTTTCCGTTTTGTAAAACCTAATGAGGTTTTCTTTTCCTCCTTTTAGGTCAACCAGTACTAGTTAACTAATGCCAAAAGCATGTTTTAATTTACTTAGTTTTAAGGCTAAAACCCTAAACGTTTACTTGATATTCGACTATAGTTTTGAAGTCCTCTTGGGTGCTGTTTTGTGTTCAATTTAGAGAGCCATAGGAATTTTCAATATATGTCGCTGTATAAGTAATGTAGTTAGAGAGAAAATAATTAGGGCTTCTTTTGTTCTAAATTTTCCATGCTTTTAAAGTGTCGCATGTTATAAATCTATACCAAGTTGCAAACTGGCTCGTTGCAATTCATAAATCAATAGGATTTTTCAATAATTCTGGTGACTTGGCTTAAACTTGCAGTTATGGCGTTATGATTTCAGTAACTATGGTTGGTTATGTATACTTTTATCTTCAACATCTTGCAGTGGTTACCAAGAGATGCGCTTGCTGCTCCCATCTCAAGTGCAATATACTCGTGTGATGGCCAGCTGGTATATGCAGGATTTTGTGATGGTGCTGTTGGAGTATTTGATGCAGACAGTTTGAGGCTTCGGTGTCGAATAGCACCCTCTGCTTATATGCCTCCCTCTGCCAGGTATGCAGTGGTGTAATGATTTCTATGCATTAGTGCACCTTTGAAGTATTTGAATGATTGCTTCCGTCAATGCACCTAATTCCTGCTAAACCTACAATAAATGTTTGGGGGAATTGGATGGAATTATTGTCCCCTATGATTTTATTGTTATGTATACCTTGTTCTTGCTAATAATTCCATCGGGTAGGCTGGCATGGTGGGTTGCTTCACATTTTTTTTTTTTTTTTTTCTGACAAACTGCCCAAAAGAGTTGGAAAGCTCTTTCTTTTCCATTCATTACATGTTAAGATTCTATTATAGATGATTATTAAATGGACTTTTGGAATTTCTGAAGCTTACTTAACCCTTTGGCACTGACTTGGATCCTGCAGCAGCAGCATTGTCTACCCATTGGTGGTAGCAGCTCATCCGTCTGAGCCCAATCAAATTGCCCTTGGCATGAGCGATGGTGCAGTCCATGTGGTAGAGCCATCTGATGCAGAGCCTAAGTGGGGTGGTTCGGCCCCTCAAGATAATGGAACTCTATCTTCTATCCAGTCAAATCCTTTAAGTAATCAGCCATCTGAAGCAAATCCCAGGTAATGGTAGCTTCAAGTTTCAGCCTCACCACCAACACCCAAAACAAGGTTTACAGAGAGACCAGGATGCTTCTATGATGTGCAGCAGGGCTCAACCTTTTTTTTGTTTTTTAATCTCCCGTCATGCTTTTGTTGTCCATATGATCCGTCTCATCTTCATTTGTAAATGTTTCCTTTCTTTGATTTTTATTTTATTAAGGTAAAATTTTATTGAAAAAAGAAGTGTACATCGTCGGGTAGAAATCAAACGCGTAGAAATCTTCACTTCAGCTGTTTGGCTTTCTTCTCAATCTAATTTAACATAGGAATAGGATAGTTGGAGATCCATTTACTCCCCTGTTCTCATCTGTCCCCATCAGTCCCAGTCATTGACTCATTGCCCGTTTGGGAGGGCTTTCAGACAGCTGCTTTTGGTATTGCATGATGCATGGAGCCCAGAATGTTTTGGTAAAAATCTGGATAGCCGAAAATAGTTGACTTTCTGCTGAAGTTATTATAGGCAAGGTTCAAAGTATGGATTCGATACGTATCTTGCTGGTGGCTTCCGGATACGCCCCTACAGGGGTTGTATCGGGTCAGCCACTGGTTCAGAGAGTAGTCAGGTTTTAAACTGGCCCATTGTATCGGGTCAGCCACTGGTTTAAAGGGTAATTGGGCCTTAAACCGGCCCCTCTGAACTGATTTAAAAAAAACAAGTAAAATTAAAAAATGTACGTCAGGGCGTATCAGCCGGTGTCAATACTTTGAACGTTGATTATAGGTATTCAGAAGCGGCGTAGTCAATGCGGCCCAATCACCGCATAAGCCCCTCCCAAAGCAGTCCAGATTTCCTACTACCCTCTACTCCCCTCGATCAACCCATTAAAATTATTCCACCTGTCACTAAGTCCTCTCAGGTTAATTAAACCCTCCGTTGGATACTATTTTAAAGAAATATGTATATTTATGCATTAATTAAATATTTCTAAAAATAAAAATATAATAATTTTGGGTGGTCTGTAACTAGGGGTGCTTATTCGAACCATGGGTCTTTTTTGTGAATCGAATCGGTAGTACCAGTTTCTAGAAAACTGGTAACCGGAATCGAACCAAAATCAGTTGATTAATTGGTTGACTGGTTTGGTTTGTTGGTTTTTCGTTTTTTTGACTTTATAATATTTATTATAAAAATATATAAATATATAATAAAAAATTATATATATATAATGTGTATTTATTAATTTATAATATATAAAATATATATAATATACATAAATATATAGAAAAACATGTTTGCTGGTTGGTTTGGTTAATTGCTGATTTTTTAAATTGGTTAACCAAAACCGAATCAGTACCTTCGGTTTTTTAAAAACACCAAACCGATTAACTGATTTTTTGGTTCAATTTCGGTCGGTTTTTTTGTTTTTTTGCTCACCCCTATCTGTAACTCTTATTCCATGCATGAATTTGCTTCATTAGGCCTAGAAAAGAAATAAAAATAAAAATATCTATTTTAATTATATTCAAATTTCCCATTTTCTCTTTAATTATATACAAATTAATTCTCTAAGCCTAGTAAAGCAAATTCATGCATCGGAAAAAGAGTTACAGACCACCCAAAATTATTATATTTTTATTTTTAGAAATATTTAATTAATGCATAAAAATAGGTATTTCTTTAAAATAGTATCTAACGGAGGGATTAATTAAGGGATTAGTAAATCGTTAAGCTAGATAGGACTTTGTGACAGCTGGAATAATTTTAATGGGTTAGTAGAGAGGGGAGTAGAGGGAAGTTAGTAGGAAATCCGGACTGCTCCCAAAGGGGCTTTTAGGTATAAAGATATGTATCATTTTAAACATCCGATAAGAATGCGCCAAGTAGTCCCAATAACCCTACAAACCTCTGGCGAAAGAGGCAAGAGATTAGTGGGATTAGTTGAATTTCATTTTTATTAGTTTCGTCTTCGCTTTTACTTCATGCTTAGCACAATGTTCCAAGCCTCAACCCTACAATGTTACAATGTTCAAAATATCGATGCGTATCAGCCTGTATAAAAGCTTTGTGATACACTCTTATAGGGTTTTGACTGGTTCAGAGGATGAACAAGTTTAAAATCGGCCCTTTTGAATTGGATTTTGATGATGTGCAATCCGGCCGGTCTTAGCTGTCAATGACCTTGCCTTTGAATCGAGTAGCGGGGAACCTGAAACGGAGGAGATGAAGAAGCTCCGGGGAGAACCCGATGTAAAGGCTCCGAAGCTTAAGTTAGAATCCTTCAAAGGCAAGATAAACCAGATAGCGCAAAGTTTGCATACCTCCTCTTTGGGG